CGCTGCCTGCACCGTCGCATGCGCTGCCACTCGCCTGGAACGCTGCAGAGAAAGAGAGAGCCAGGGATGACGAACGCAGGGACGGGCCAGATGGATGGCAGCTGGCCTGGCGCGGTGTTTTGCCAGCAAAGCTGCCCTTCCCCTGCTCTCGCTGCAGGCGGCTGGCAGAGGCGGGGGTGAGCCAGCCTGGGGCCGGGCAAGGATGCTCCCCAAGGAGCAACGGGCTGGTACCCAAGCCTCAGGGGTGTGGTGGGGCTCACTTTGCTTGGCCAAAGACCACCCCACCCCAGATAGTCGTGTAGAGGCCAAAGTGGAGGAGGGCACAGGTCCTAAGATCAGGCCCGCTCACAGGGCAGCTGGGGACAGGTCATTTTGAGGGATTTTGCTAGACTTCCCTCGCTTTGCCAGGGAAGGATAAAGGTTGAGCAGCACCTTCTGACCCTGTTGTCTTCCTGTCTCTCTCTTTCTCTCCACCAGGTTGTTGCTGAGACCCTGGTGAGTGCCTGCCCTTTCGCTCCTCAGCCTTCTGCATGTTTGAGGGGATGCTGCGGTCCTTGGGCGCAGGGCTGGGGCTGGGAATAGCAGCCCCATGTGCCGGGCTCCTCTGACCACAGGGGTTGTGCTCGCTTGCTGGGGGCTCCAGGGTGCTTGCATCGGATGGGTGGCAAGGGGACAGATGAGACATGCACGAGGGCACTTCCCTGCAGCGCTGGGCAGGAGAGAGAGAAAGCCACCTTCCTGCCCTTGGGAGGGCTGGGGACCAATCCTGCCCACTGCCTGCACACAGGACCCACGTTCCTGGCAGCGTGGCACTCGGGGCTGGGTCCTCTGGCTCACCGAAAGTGGGAACTGGGGAAGGGGCAACTTTCTACTGCAGTAGCCTGATGGGTGGGTGGCAGCTGTTTGAGCCGTGGGCAGCACTGCTGTGGCCCAGGGTGGAGGGCAGCTCCTGTGTCTGGCAGCTCTGAATTCTCTGTTCAGTACTGGTCACCCCCAAAAAACCCTCCCCAAAAGACAAAAAAAAAGTCTTAACCACAAGCATTGCACAGCTTTTCTCATAAAAACCAGAAACTATCTTTTCTCAGACATAGTGTGTGAGTGTGCAGCTGTGCACCTTCACATCCATGCACAAGAAATGCCTTTTTTGGCCAAAAATAGCTATTTTCCTGCTCGTGAGAGGCCGTGCTCTTTGCAAGAGGATGTTCAGGACTTGCTGTCCCAGGAAGAGCTGTGTGACATCTTTGCCTCTCTCTCCTACACCCATCCCCCTGTCCCCCTCTTCACCCTCGGCTGTTCTTTCAGAAACTTGCTGACGTCTCCAGCAACGACTCCAGTGACTCCCTGGAGACCCGCTTCCTCAGCATCCTCTGCACCCGCAGCTACCCTCACCTCCGCAGAGGTAGGACCACCTTTCTCCATCACTGTTGGACCCTCAGCTGCAGCACAAGTGCTTTGATTTGGGCTGAACAGGGCTCCCGGGCAGCAGGCGGTTGGGGTGGCCCTGCTTCCTCAGTGGTGGGAGGAGATGGCCTTTGGGGTGGCTGGTTGAGGTCACCCCATACCTGTTCTGGTTCAGAAGTCTCCATGGTTGAGGCTTGGGTCTCCTGGGTGCCCAGGGCTGGGATGGGGTGGCTCAGCGGTGACACTCTCCTCTCCCCATCCCCAGTGTTTCAGGAGTTCATCAAAATGACCAACCACGACGTGGAGCACGCCATCAGGAAGCGGATGTCGGGAGACGTGAGGGACGCCTTCTTGGCTATCGGTCAGTGCCTGCCGGGGGCCCCTTTGCCTGCCTCTGCCAAGGCAACGTCAGGGCCGATTCCTCGCTGCTTTGGGCCCT